AAAATAACACCATCTAGCTGATAAGCTTGTGTGTTCTCTTAATCTGTTTTCGAGATAAATGATTGAAATAACTCAAATAAGGAGAAGTTACATGTTAATCACTTGTGGAATGGAAGATGTTGCATTTTTCTTTCCTTTAGTTCCTGTAATTGCGTGTGGTGGAGAAGACTGCAAAGTTCACTTATTTACAGAGAAAGATAACAAGGTATGTAATCGACAAACTTCCACAGAATTATTATTTGGGCACAACCTGGGAAGTTTATCAGTAATATTACAGATCTTGAGGCTGACATGTTTCAGATGTGTGTTATTTGAAGTAGTTTGAAATTGTCTCTTGAAGATCATTTTATCTGTATGCCCATTTATTTTTATTTTAGATTTATAACAAAAACAAACAGGCACAACTTTCCTTCTTTAAGCTTATAAGTTGAAATTTAGAACAGTCACATGTGTACATTCCATATTTACTAGCAAATTAATGTAGAGATGTTTCTCTGCAATTTTTTTTATTACACTATACTTTTAGTTTTTAAAAGTACAAAGTTTATTGGGCCATGAGGATTGGATCAGAGGCACAAATTTTGCATTAGAAGGTTTGTTACTCTATTTCCTTTTACCAAATTAAGGTTCAGAATCCTTCATGTACAATACTCACATTCTACTGATAATTTATCTGATGGAAATATTTTTTTGTAATTTCTTACATGTAAGTTTAATTTTACAATAAGTGTATGGAATTCAGGAGAAACATTGGATGATGTAGTCTGATTGTTAATGTACAGTAGCATGCAGTACAGTCAGCTGAGTTCGTGTTACAAGCTCGCAATAGTTTATGCGGCAAGCCATGTTTGATACACTTAATATAACATAATGGTTTTTCATCACATACACATACATACACATACATACACATACATACGTACATACGTACATACGTTACTTGACCACTCCCCATAGTAATCTCGTGCGTGGGAAATTAACGTCTCCTACCCCTAACCCTGCAGGAGACGGGGCCTACGGTTTATTCGTCCTTATCCGAGAAGACTAGATTATCTATCCATTTTTTGATTATAGAAAGTAGTAAATTGTCCTCACTTGTTTTAAGACCATGAGTATCGGTCCGGCCGGGGCTCGAACCCTCGACCTCCCAAACAACACAATCCGGCGTTGAATTTATCTTTTTTTTTTGTCACAGATGGTGGAAATCTGCTTCTTGTCAGTTGTTCTCAGGATAGCTTCATTAGGATATGGAGGATTTCGCTTTCTACAACATATCCAGTGACTAATTCTGACATCGTTCAAGATGAATTTAAAGAACTGAAACTAACTTCCAATGTTTTCAGTGTAACTGACAAAGGTACGGAGAGATTTTTATTTCCATCGCAAAACTGTCGTTGTGTGAAGTTGCAAAGTAGAATCTAAGGCTCTGGTTTAATTCAAACACGGAAATTATGAAATTAGCTAGTTTGAAAAACTGGCATAGAATTTTTTAACCATTAAAAGATTCAGCCATAACGCATAACTTGTACATGTCTCTATTTTCATAATGTTATTGAAAATTGAAATAAAACAGAGTATTTACACGAATAATTTTTATTTTTTACTTTTCAAGGATCATCAAAAGACTTTTCAGTTGTGCTGGAATCAGTCCTGACTGGACATGAAGGTTGGATTTACGGGGTTCATTGGCACCCTGCAATTAGGAAAGGTGAGCAGGTCTTGTTTTTTTTTTTTTTTCCTCTTGAGGTAAACAGTGGATAAGCACGCTCTTCGCCTGGTTTTTGTTCACTCAAGTCTAGCCTTTTTTCGTTCTCGTTAAAAGGTGAAACCACACTTGTTTCCTTATTGAGGGATTGGACTCATCAAGTTTCATGTTTCTCATTTTATCTCCACATTTGACACTTTCGATGTGTGGGTCCTAGTGATGGGCAGAATGCACCCATGCGCGTTTCTGCTTTTTCTCGCGCGTGTTACTCGCTTGCAGGGTTTGCATAAGCAAACGCGTTGCTGGTAGATCTACCCACTGGTAATGCGTTTGAAAATAGCTTTTAGCCTTTACTTAAAACGTCAACGTACTCCAGACAAGTGTGTAATTCTCTTCAAAAAGACCTGAAAATGCAGGAAAACGCAACTGTAAGAAAACACAAAAGAAAAAGGCAACTGTAAGAGGTTGCCTTCCATGCCTTTAAAATGAACTACTTATCTGTACCTGACACAGCGGTTCAATGTCTGCGCATGTGCGAAAGGTCTAATGACTCGGTGACGTGTGGCACGCTTCAGGTTGTCAGAACTGAGTTGTTCCACACAAGCCAGTAAGTCACGGTGTTTTAAATCAGAACCCCTGGTGGAACTCAATTTGTTTCTTTGTCCAATCTTTACCTTCATCTCTAATTTCACAGGGGATGGATCGTTCACTCAGCCTATGTCATTACTCTCAGCCTCTATGGATAAAACATTAATAGTGTGGACTCCGGACAAAGAAACTGGTGTTTGGTTGGAGAAAGTAAGCACTAAATATTCTTGCGACCGAAAAAGCTTTCAATTTTTAGCGTTGCAAAAATGAAATGGTACATAGCTATGACAGTTTTTGTGGGATGGGTGGATTGAGGTTAGAGTTCGTTGCGACGCAGCTTGCAAATTTCGTACATTCCATAACAAGGAATATGGTGTGCCGTTAGAAAAATAGTCGGAAGATTTTAGGGCGAACTGTTAGAGATGGGTGCGAAGTTACTTAACTTCAGGGAGCGCACTCGTAAAGTTGGTGGTGGACGAACTTGTGATGCGGCGAAACCTCCTTAAATCACACTGAAGGGGCTAGAAACATACAATTCATTCTGGTGTTATCTTCTTCGAGCGTCTGCGAGAGTTGAAGCACTCAGCGGATTGGTTCCTTACCCATGAGACAGACCATTAAACTGGCGGAAAGGTTACCATAGAATCACAGACTGTAACATTTGTCAGCGACTGTTAGCCATCCACTGACAACCTTTGAGTTTTTTAGTGTTATTAACCAACAGGGGTTTTTTTAAAATCCGTTCAGGTTCGTGTTGGAGAAGTTGGAGGGACAACTCTTGGTTTTTACGGGGCAGTTTTCAGTCCTAATGGCCAATCTATTCTTGGGCATGGATATCTCGGAGCATTTCAGCTGTGGAACAATGTTGCCTCTGAGGTAGAAGCGCGTGATTGTACAGTTTTGGTATTCAGTGAGAATAACATATAAAGTAGGGTAGTATAGAGCTGTTTCATACCAGCCGATTGTCGACCAAAACCGCTGGCAAGTCTGCCATCTTTATCTGGCTTCGAAGTTCAGTTGGGAGGAGCGCCTAACTAGTTTCTGGGAGGCACGGGTCCGAATCCTGTCCGAATCCCGTCGAAGCCTGAATTTTTTTTGTCAGGATTCTCATTTGCATTCCTGAAATTTCACTCCTTCGGCGAGAATCATTATATGTTTTACTACCTTTTGCTGTCATTGATTTACAGAGTGAGGAAAGATGGGAGCCCGGTGTAACAGTTGGTGGACACTTTGGTCCTGTACAAGTGAGTTATAAATGGAGAACCCACACACTTATCGTAAAAAGTTGGGATCGTAGGTCCCGGTGTTGTGGTCTGGCCTTGATTCTGAAATTAGAGGCATCTGTAAAAATTTCATTCAAAAATTGTTAACTGCTCAGTATAGTCTGAGATTGGTGGATAAAAGCCGTAATTTGGCCACTGTTTCTCAGAATTTTATTATTGGTGACTTCTACAAGAAAATATGTTTTTTTTGGAGGGGGGGGGGGAGAGAAGAGGCGAATTGATTAACTTAAAGAGGGTAAAAGAGATAAAATTGAAGCAATAGAAGGGCTGGAAAGATCAGTGTGTCAACAATTTATCGCTGATTGTAGGGTTAAAGGCTGTCCTACCAGCGCGAGACGAAGGCAAATCTTAGTCGTACCTGAGGATTCCAGTGTTAGCGAGATTCGATTTCATTGTTGGATGCTCGATCAGCTGTGATGTATAGAGACCTTAACAATAAACTAGGTCACATACTAATTTATGTTTATATGTGATAAGCGTTCTTCGTAGTGCCAGTATCAGTAATGTCTAAAGCATTTTGTGTGGAGATTGAGAAGGATGTTTAATTTTTAGCTAGTTGTCTAATAATTAACAAATGGTAAACATCACAGCGTACACTATTGAGTTATGGATGCACGCGGGAGGTTGCTAAGCACGAAAGAAGCGTAAGAGTCGCTCGAGGCGATAGCCGAGAGCGACTCTAGCTTCTTGAGTGCTTAGCAAACCTCTCAAGNAGTCTTTGCATTTGCTCACGTCAGCAGCGTACACCCATGGGCAAATGGGGGACGCTAAATTGACCAATCAGAGCGCGCGCTTTACTTTGGTTATGTTATAAATAAAGTTGGGATTCATTTGTCGTTAGCTGGGAACAGAGAAAACCTTCCAGTTTGTATCGCTTCCCATCTCGAAACATTCCTTCTCTATTGCAGGACATTGACTGGGATCCAGTAGATGGGCAGTTTCTTGTGAGCGTCAGCAGTGATCAGACAACTAGATTACATGCTCCCTGGAGAGGGGATGGATTTCAAGTGAGTTCGAGTCGTTGATGTGTTTATGGACCGATAGTGCAGTAAATTTATGATGATTTTATGTAATAAGCTGAATTTTGCATGCATTTTTATTGGATCTTACCTATGATCGACTAGAGGACAGACGCGTAGGTGACGTTACTATTGACTTTTTTTTTTATTATATGAAAAAGAGCGGAAATAATGTCCAGTAATGAGTATTGAAATTATCGCCAATAATGTATGGCATTGTCTCTACCCACCCCACCCCAGAAAGGGTCTTCACACCGCATAAGAAATGCTGTTTTCAGCTGTCTGTATACATATGTGAGAAACCTGTATCTTTGGCATACCAAGACATAAAACGGTTACAGAATAAACCAATAATTGCATTAAAAACTTTGGAAAATGCATGCAGAAAAAACTTCTTCTTTCCAATAGAAAGCCCGAGTGAAGGCAAGTATGCGTCTAGTTTATTATATAGAACAAATATATTCCATGTTGCCGCACTAGATCGCTGGGGACTTCAAGATGTGGTAAGAACATTCGTGACACAGTTTTCTGTTCTTAACATATTTGAACGTCATCTGTGATCTATCCCTGTATAGACGCACGGTAAGACGTAATATATTTGTTAAGTAGATACACTTTCGAATCACTTGCTGATCTTATGAATGTAATCCAGTCAAAGTTGTGGATGGTTCTCCCCGTTTGCAAAGCTTTAAAATATACCAAGTGCGTTGGAAGAAATACACATTCTTTTTTCAAGAAGATTGAAAACATAAATTCAATTCTTTTTTCTGTTTGTTCCTCATTCATCTGGTCTCGGTTGTGCGAAGGTTGGAGAACGCTATTCACTGGATAGAACTCTTTCCGGTGAATAACGCATTAAGTTTTCTTATCATCTATCCGCCGGATAGCGATTTATCCGCCGGATAGCGATTTATCCGCCGGATAGCGATTTATCCGCCGGATAGCGATTTATCCGCCGGATAGCGATTTATCCGTTGGATAGCGTTATCCGACCCTTATACAACTGGGCCTAGGAATATTCCTAGACACTTAATGCTGCAGAAATCTGGACAAGCTATGGGAGTGTGAACTTTTTGGGTCTTTTTATCAATACCTCATACTTCTATCTTTTTTTTTTCTTTCAGAAGCCTGTTTGGTGCGAGATAGCTCGTCCACAGGTACATGGATACGACATGCAGTGTCTGAGCATGCTCAGTAGATACAGACTGGCGTCTGGAGCTGACGAAAAGGTAAAGATGTTGAAACTTTCCCCAGGTTCTTTCCTCCAGACTACTGATGGAGAGACTCTCGTAACATGGCGTAGGATATAACGTACGGTTCTTTTTTTATTGCGTTTTGATGGTGAAGCATCTTAAGAGAGCATCACTGAGATATTTTTTGCCAAAATGGACTCTAATGTCTGAACTAGGACGGAATCGCCCGAAAACAGTTGCAAATGTCCCTAAAACGGAAATAAAATGGACGCAAGTAATGAAAATCGGACACAACCGGACACAACCGGTCCACAGTGGACATACATATAAGTGTCCGGAATCTGCGGGGACCGTCCGAAAACAGACATAAGGTCGCAAAGGCTGCCTGAGGATGGAAACATTGAAATTAGAACTTGACATAGTTGGGCTACATATGTTATTTAGGATGTACAAAGTTCCGGGAAAAAACGAATGTTCTCTCATTTTAGGTGATAAGGATCTTCAGCGCTCCTCGCCAGTTTATGGAAACGTTTCAAAAACTTTGCAAATTGGAAGAAAACAAAGAGGTATCCTGATATATTGTATAAAAGTGCAGTTTCAGATTTAGGAGTTTAAAACACAGTCTTTGACTTAATTTCGTTGCATGTTTTCGATACAAACTGTCTCGCTGCTGAAATCAAAACCTTCGCCTTGCATTGGAGTTGACGTATACACGATACTTAGCCGGGGCTGTTTGAGTTTTAAGAAATTGAAAAACTACATCCATCATAGGAATAGACAATATTAAACTGATTAGTTAATTAATTAATGTTCTACTCTGTGTAGAACAAACTATTGGTTGTGTGGTGGAAGGATTGGAGAGGAATAGTCACAGTTGGCCTGTCACGCATGCGCCACGATAGCTTCAAACGTTGCGACTTCGCTTGCGAGAGAAAAATCATCTATGGAGAAAAGTCACTTATGGATGATACAATTTTTATTTTCCTTCAGATGTGTGTTAGTTTACCCGTTGGAGCCAGTGTACCGGCTCTTGGACTCTCAAACAAGGCAGTTTTTGAAGGTTAGAGACTGTATTTCAGAAATGTTCTCTCTATCAGTTTAATCTACAGGCGAGTTATCAATAGATGTGGAATGGAAACGTTTATGACCAAAGACTGGACTTTGAGTGACCAGGAAGAAAAAGAGAGAGAGAGAGAGAGAGAGAGGCAGGCAATGAGAAAAAAAGAAGGAAAAACATCCACCAAAGGATGTTTGATAAGGATATTTAGATGTGTAGAAGACGGTGTGGAGAATTAATTTTAATATCTCGCGAGGAGTAGAAAGATAAAGATTCTCAAATTAGCGTGCCGGGGATGAAGGGGTGGGAGGGGAGGTTAGGGAGCACTCAATCTGGGCGGGAGGGGTGATGGGGGGGCTGGTTCAAATCTTCCATCCGTTAGTGGATATCCGATGTTTATTTCGTGGTAGTCCCGATTTCAACCCTTCTGCTACACTTTAGAAATAGCCAACACGTTCGTATTTCTTTACTGTAGTTTTTCTTAATTGAACTGTTTCCCCAAGCCACACAGCAGTACCAAACACTTCAGCAGTTGAATAAAACTGTTTATTTCATTATTATGCAGTGTACGCGTATAGATGCTAAAATAAATAAAAGAACATAGGGCGCAAAGCGTAGCCTATGTCTTCTTAAGAAACGTACGTCTATACAGATAACTATGTTTATGTCTAAAAACTAAAACGGAATATTCCCTAAAAGTCTACATTATTCCCGAAAAGTCACTAAAACATTAAAGTTCGCACAGTTACTTGACGGTGGCCTTATTATTGTCATTATTATTATTATTATTATTATTATTATTATTATTATTATTATTATTATTATCATGATAGTAGGACGTCGATCATGTGTCGCCAATTTATTTGCTGTTCTGCTGAATGAAGCTGAAGAAAAATAATGCAGACACAAGATGAATTCTGCTACTCTGTAGAACAGTTGTTAATACCGAGGAGATTCAAGACTTTTCTCTCAGCTAGAGACTTTTTAAACTTGTTTTGATATTTATACCTTAATTTATCTTAATTTTGTTTGTTATTCCGTATTTGTACTGATTCTGTATTAAAAAAAATTATTATTATTATTATTATTGTTATTGTTATTATAAATATTATTTCATTTATAACGAGGTAGTTTTTGTTTCTGGTGTTAGACGGAGCAAGACTTAGACTTGAAATGAGGGAGAGTTGTTTGTGTCTTCATCCAGTTTCACCTTCGTAGCCCTTTTTTAACCCCCAGGGGTGACCAGCATCTAATTTCTCCTCACAGAGATACAGCTGAATCATTCATTAAGATCAGGAGAATAAAGGAAATGGTCGCCAACCTAAGAGGCTTTGATTTTTAAACGGATTCTCCTTGTCAGTAACAAAGGAAATGTATAGAGAAATGTATGGAGAATACGAATACTGATGTCAGGGTGTAAACGGTTACATGCTAAATTATTTACTGATTAGGTGACATGGACAGTCTGAGGAGGGACCTGGAAGACCCAGCGAGACCCATGAAGTCGTCCGCGTTTGCCAGTGAGGAGCCTGCTCCATTTACACCGGTGTCATTGAAAGGTACCCCTTCCTTGTGAGCCGTTCTTCACAGCGGTGCACAGAATTCACGGATTTCTCTTCGTTTTCTTGTACTTCTTTCGCACAATAACTCACCAAGAGAACTTATAATTCACAATAAACTTTAGGAAACTCTCTATTTTTGTCGCGTCGTGTTCATTGCCTTATTTGGTCGTACTCGCAAGTGTCACAAATTAGAGGGGTGGAGGTCAGTCAAAACTTTTGTACACTTGGTTTATTTCTGAACTGATTTTTGTCGTCAGTGGCTCTTTTTTCGTCTCCTACAAAGCTAACTAAAAGCTCCTCACTAATTCCTTAATGTGCAAAGTATTTGCTGTGTTCATGGCAAAGACTGGAAGGTTGAAGATTTGACTTTTGTTGTTCTTGCCTCTCTAACTAATTTCAGAACCTCCCACCGAAGATGTTTTACACCAGAACACGCTATGGCCTGAAGTACAGAAACTGTGAGTACAAAGTATTTTCCTATCCCTTTTTCGTCTAATGCACGCACTTTACTTAAGCTGTTGAATCATTTATTAGCATAGACTTGCTGCTGTTTTGCAGGCGACTATGAAGATGTTTTTGTTTTGTTCAGTTTGTTTTGTTCAGTTTGTTTTGTTTCGTAAACAAAAAAACCTAGATCAGGAGAATGTTCTTCCTGGCCCAATTTTTAGATAGAGATTAATGGAAACTTTACAATGACCCATTAACTGACTGCCTGGCAATGGCTGCTTTGTCGAAATAATTTTTGTTTCGGTATTCGTCGTGTTAATCCTAAACATTATTGGATTCCTTTTTTTTTTCTCCCTTAGATATGGTCACGGATACGAAGTTTTCTGTATGGCGTCAAGTCCTGACGGGACACTGCTGGCGTCTGCTTGCAAGGTTTCAACATGACTCCCTTATCTTGTTTCTTAAGGGAGATTTGTCATGGCGTGATCTAACCATGGGGGTGGGGGATGAGTTGTGTCGAGGCGGGGGGACGTCATACCGTAGTATTTCGACTCGGAGCAACTTTTAATTGAGTGTCGAAAGTAATGCGGAAGGGTTGCACAAGTTTTCCCTTACCTGCTTTTTGATTGGTCCGTAAAACTTGCGCCACTCTCTTAACCAATCAGATGCAAAACTAAAATCAGGTACGAGTTGGTTGCTCGCATTTTCCCGCGCTTTTGATAATTTGCGTTTGGTTACTTTGAATTGTCTACGACTCCTTATTTTCTTTGTTCTGATTGGTCAATATGATAATTTTGGTGTGGGACTTGCAAAACATAGTAGAAATGCGTTCAAGCATCTTTTCCTCTTATACAAGCAAATTGGGGAATTGTCCTTCCAAGCAGGTGTAAATTACAACAAACAGTTTACGCTGGTTTGTGTGCATCGCTTTGTTTTATTCTGTATTATGTTCTCATTCTTCTTTCCTTGTAGGCCTCTAAACCAGAACACGCCGCTTTAATATTATGGGATACCAGCACGTGGAGACAAATTTGCTCGTTACCCTCTCACGCACTCACTGTAACACAAATAGCTTTCGATCACAGTGGCCAGCGGCTTCTGTCTGTGTCGCGTGACCGCTGTTGGTCTGTTTTCAAGAGAAAAGCAAACGACGAGGAAGGTGAGACTAAACTAAGACCTCAGTGATCACCACGGCCAGTCATAAAAAGGTCAACATCACAAGGAACCTATGAGAGCTTAAGACTTGGTTAAAACCAAGCGCGGGAAAGCGTCAGTGACGAATTTTCGTTTGGTGTCATTTTTGTATTTGATTGGTCGAGAGAAGGGCGCGAGTATTTTAAATCAATCACATCTCAGAGAGAAAAAAAAACGCGCTTCATTCCTGATTTTTACTTTTTACATTAAATTGAAAATTGTTCTGGGATAACCAGACGATGAAGCAGTAGCTCAACCCGTTGACCTCCAAGAGTGACCAGCGTCTAATTCCTCCTTGCAATATCACCCCTGAATCACACAATTAGGTCAGGAGAATAACCGAAATGGTCACCAATTAAAGAAGCTCTTCACTGTTAAACAATTCTCCTTGTCAGCGCTTTAGGAAATGTATAGAGAACAGTATGGAGAATATGTATACTGATGTTAGAGTGTTAAGGGTTTATAACAAAAAAATTTTCACTTTTGCAAATTTCCGTCACTTTGGCTAGCCATACAAAATTAACTGTGAAAGATGTTTCGACAATTTCTCGACTGAATCAGGCAACCTTTAATTGTATTCTCTCTTGAGAGGGAATATTTTTAAAAGAAGGGAAAACCCTTTTCTATGGACTGACCATTAAAAAAAAAATGAATAATAATGACCAAGTAGGTTGTCCGTAAAGTACGCTTAGCTCAGACAAGTTGTTCGAGTTCCGTAGCTGTGTTTTACTTATTCACTTTTTAATTTGTTGTGGATGTAACAGGTCAGCTCTTCAAACTTGTTGCTCGAAGCGATAAAAAGAATCAACACGCCAGGATTATTTGGTCATGTGCTTGGAGTGGAGATGACGAGTACTTTGCTACGGCCTCAAGGGATAAAAAGGTCAGCATCCTACCCTCTGTGAGGAATTTTTTTATCGGTCAATAGCAAACAAATTTTACGCTCCAGGTTTGCAAAAAAGGGGTGGGGGGTCCGAAAAATCTGTGTCCTAAATCCATGAGCCAACTGCGCATCCACCCCACTTAACCCAACACCAAACCTAACTTGTTATCAGTTTACTGTTATGGGGAGGAATAGGTGAGCAGTTGCGCAGATACTACATTGATCCATTCATTCCAGTTCTAGGTACTGTATTTGCCTTCCTTTTCGTCGCATGAAAAGAAAAAAAACAGAAGTATAAGCCATTTCACGCAATGCGTGACTGAGGAATTCGCAACTACGACTCCCGTGTGAATAACCCTGATAACGGCCTTGATTTCTTGGTGGTTCGACTGTAACTTTCTTTCTTTTTTCTTTTTTTTTTGCCTGCCAGGTTATATTATGGGGTCATGCCGACATTGCTAGCGACAACTGGCATGCGGCTTCCAGTCCTTTAGATGTCGGTGAAGCTGCCACCGCTGTAGATATTGCGCCAGGGGTCAGTAATATAAGGTAAGATGTCTTTGAAATTGTAAACAGATAACATTTTCTCTTTGCGCCACTTTCGCCCCGAGAGAAGGTTTCGTTGTCACATCTTGTTGAGACTGGAAACTGCACATTAAGTCTTCAAGTGCTACTTAAAAACTTTCGATTTTTATCGCCAAGTAAACTTTTTGACGCCCCACCTCATAGGTGAACTTGTTGTAATGATAAAAAAAGCAACAACAAAAACAACAATGACAGCAAGAAAACAGAACCTACAATGACTATCAAGATTTAATTGATGTTTTAACGGGACGACTTTGAAGAGGATTTTTTTCCCTTCGCCGTTTAGATACACCATTGCTGTTGGTACTGAATCAGGCCGTATATTTCTATATTCCTGGAGTTTGAATGGAGCCAGCTGTCCAGGTGGCCAGTGGAGTCTTCTCCATGCATTAGACCAATCGTATCCTTTACAACTTCTTGAATATTGTTACGCTGTGCTTAGAGGTATATGAAGGGTTTCATCTTTCTTCCTTTAGAGAACACACTGTTACCTCACTTACGAAGTTGTTACTCACCAAAACTTTGAAGACGTTTATATTAGTGAAAATTATTCTATCCTATTTTTGTGGCATATGGGTCGTCTATTTTCCTTACATCTTGCAACTTTGATGCACAGGATTTGTCACGTGCTTACAGTTCGACGGTTGCGATGGAGACGGACTAAAGACTCTAATAACAGTGCGACTTTACAGCTGGCGAGCTGCGGTCTGGATCATAGTGTCAGAATATTTAATGTAACAGACACTACGTGACAAGGTGTGTGATAGTCACACAATAAGCTAAGATAAGAATGGAATGCAAGCCGTCACGCTACACTCTGACATTAGAAAACACCAGGAAAAGAAAATTTAGAAGCCGTTCTTATGTGTACTTCCCGCATCCCTGTATTGTTTGACAACGTTTGATACCGTCTTCGCATCAATGCGCAGCATTCTTCCAACCTCTGTAAACGAATGGCGCTGTGCGAGATATAGTACATGAATTCGTAAGTCGGTGAATAGTGTTACAAATAGTGTTGAAATTTCTGCCTTTTTCGTTGACTGCAAACGCCATTACCAATCACCATCGACAAGCGTGAAAACTTTCTCGAGTGGGAGGAAATGCAAAACCTTCACCCAAATGGGCGGGAAAACTTTGAAGTTTTGCTGTCATAACATTGAAGTTGGATAGGCCAACATTTATGTTTTAATGGCGTGCGTGGAAGTGTAGATGCAATCGATGGAAGGATGAAAAAAATAATGAGAAGTTCGATCTCCAGGCTCTCATGCCAGTGTTGTCGATTTCACGTTGGGTAATTCATCGCCTGTTGTGCATCTTACTAAGGACAATTATCCCACAACACGACTACTTTAGATTTCATCCAAAATGCGAAGTCTTATGGAGAATTGATTATCGAGAGAAATTAAAAGTACATATTTTACTTCTTTCATCACAAGAAGTCAAATCGTTTTTTGCTCTTTTTTTTTAGTTACTATAAAAAAAAAAAATTAAAAAAAAACGTCGCCCTTCAGCAGGAGTACATGCTGGTGACCTGGTCTTGCTTCTTATTGGGTTCGAAAATGGCGTGACTTTTCTTAACTAATATGCAGGACTGAGAAAACGCTAGTGACCAGGTCTACCATCTGATACGATGAGAAAATGGTGTGAGATTTCTGGACCAATCACAGAGCGCTGCAAATACAATCACGGAATTACTTTGGACAACCAATGATAAGTTGTTCCCTTCAGAGTCAAGGACTTCATGAAAGGTGTCCGGCTTCTGGTTTGTTTTATCTTACGATTGAATGCAAGACAAACACAATGCTTTAAGTCGAACGCCGCTCGACGTTATCTTCTTCGTCTGGTCCATGGTGCTGAACTGAATATCATGCAGTTTACTTCGGCCGAGAAGGGATTGAGACCACACGTGGTGTGTCTAGTCGATGTAGTCCCCTCTCGCCAATCCTGGTAGTTTATCTTTGAAAAGTCTCCTACTTCCAAATTTGTCTTACCAGGTTTGGACACGGTAGAAAACATACACGTATAAACTTAGCAATGTACTCTCGCTTTAGATAGAAAAGTTCGCCATTAGAAGCGGGCAATCAAGGAATGGATAGTCATAATCGTAATACAGCGTAACTTGCTGTGGTTCGTCTGGTGGCAAATTGCCTAGAAATCCAAAATCTCTAAGTTTCTTGCTACTCTCCATTTCCTGTTTTTCTCCATTTTTGTTCGACTGAAATATTCTGATGTTTAAAGTGCACGGTCCCAGTTCCCGCTTGACGATCAGGGTTACACCATAGATGGAAATGTTGGAAGGGACCTGAGAACTAATGTAGCCCGGAATAGAGGTGACATCTTGCAAGGAAATACTGTGCAAGTCCAGTACAACATACCTACAAACAAGGCAACAGGGAACATTATTTCTATTCCGTACTAAACATTGACCTTACGTAAGACGGCCTTTTGATTGGTTGTCTCAAAATCGACACCCGTATCAAATACACCAAATACAGCAGCCGACAGCTTTTCCTCCCCACACACCGCGAGCAAACTTCTTTGCTCTTTAAGAAGAGGTAGAAAAATTTTCTCGTTATGAAGCGACAACTTTAGGCGGGAGGGGATTGGGACAAGACTCGGAATGTCTGCGTGATCCATTTCCCTCTTGCCATTCCTGGTAGTTTATCTTCGAAAAGGTTCCTTGTTTCAATACCAATCAGGTTTTTGGACATGGTGAAACTTGCCAGGGAAACATGTTTGTATGAATTCCGTTCAAGGCCTCTGTTGGGCAAAAGTACGCTTGAGATTCATTTTTAACTCTTTGACCCTAAGAGTGACTAACTTCTAATTTTTCTTACAATAGCACCCTGAATCACACGTTAAGATCAGGAGAATACCGGAAATGTTCACCAACTAAAGAAGCGTTTGATTGCTAAACAAATTCTCCTAATCAGCACCTTAGAAAATATATGGAGAACAGTATGGAGAACATGCATACTGATATTCGGGTGTAAAGGGTTGAACTGGGCTCATTTTACGTGCCTAGATAAACGCTAACACCAATTCTAACCCGGTAACTTCCTCGGCCACAGGTTCCCATAGTCCCACGTTGCACTTGGGGCATGGCTGTAGCTGAGCCGTCGGTTCTTCGTATTCTTCTAGTTCAGCGGCCTTCTTGATTGGCGCGCTCGCTTTGAACCGCCGTCGCATTTTCTTGAACTCGCGATAATCGATCTCTTTGTCGCCGTCTGAGTCCAGCGACTTGGCCATGAGATAGATTTCTACTTGGGTGGCAGGAGCACCTAGAAAGGATGGCAATGAAAAGGAAGGTATTTCTTATTAGTGCCAGACCCCGGCAAAGTGACGTCTGACTCGTCTCAAATGTTCCCGTGGTCGGCGAAATGCGCGTCTTGCAGCGCTGATAATGAAGTCTTGGTGAAAGGCTAATATATCCTAATTCCTCGAAAATTATTTTTCGTTTTGGCTGCAACAGAAGTTTGTTTTCTTACAAGCCGTGAATTTTTTTTTTGTGACAATTGTATTTCCATTCTTTTTCCAGTCATTTTCATCGACAAATTTGGTCTCCTCGCTTTCGAGAGGTTAATATTTACATCGCAAACTCAGTTGTCATGCTCTACAGTATTGCCTTTTTAGTTAGCTCTTACAACAAAGTTTTAGTCTATAAATATCCTTTTTTTTTCTCTATCTAGTGATCGACAGTCGCAATCTAGATAAGACATCCCGCGCTCAAAGATAATTTCAATTTTCGTTTGTGTGATTTTGAAGGAAACTCCATTTTACACTTTTGTTGAAGACGGTATTGCTGTTACTTGATACAGTTATCCTTTAGATTAATGAACGCTTAAACCCCAATTCAGAATCATTTCAAGTCTGCAAATTCGCCGCGTATTTGTTTACATTACGCTACTGATTTGTTTTCAACTTTAAAAGAAAGAAAGAATGAAAGAGGTATTAAAAGCAAACTCACCTAGATCTTTCATACCTGCTGCAAACTCCTCATATGAAATTGTGCCGCTGTTGTCTGAGTCAAACCTTCGAAACAGGTCAAGTATTCGTCCGTAGTTTTGATCCATCCAATGTATCATTCGGTCTTGGAAGTCGTGAAAAATCTTTTTGGATGAGACCACTCTGTTTACTTCTGATTGAGAGATGCTCTGGTTTTAAAAAACCGGGAAAAACAAAACTCGATCGATTAGCTAATGAAAAATTCGTTATGATAACAAGCCGAGAAATTAGTTTGCAGTTCTGATGAAATGTGAGTTGCTTTCAAGAATTCGTGGTTGAGTTTCAGCCTCTCTGAATTTCTGTCGAGATCTTTCTCTGCAATGTCATTCAAACTACATTCACAGCTTACCGAGGTAAAGGATCGTTTGTTGATAGAGCAAACCTTGGTTACAATCTCACTTGATAAACATATCTTTTCGCATTTCTTAATTGTTAGGCATGTGAATAGTTTATCCTTTTTGAAACAATCTTGAGCGTTTTTCGTTGTTCACCCTCGACGCCAGTCGCGGAACCAAGACCGAGATAAAGGATCGTTTGTTGTTAGAGCAAACCTTGGTTACAATCTCACTTGATAAACATATCTTTTCGCATTTCTTAATCGTTTGGCATACGAATGGTTCATCCTTTTTGAAACAATCCTGAGCGTTTTTCGCAGTTCACCATCAACACCTGTCGCGGAAGCAGGCGTAAGACGAGAAAAAATCTCTCAAATCAGTTTCAAACCGTACAGTGTATCTGAATTTGTGATAGAGAAAGATATAAAGTACTCAGGGTGAAACGAAATTACCTTTTCCGCCATGGCCCAATTTAAGCTGTTCGTGCACGCTAAATCAAACAAAACGCGTTAATGAAGTCTTCTTAAGGTCTTTTGTAGCTTATAACGGGAACATTTAATCCCATCAAATTTAAGTCGTGGCGTGGCAAGAGAAAGGGCGTTAATTATTGAGGATTTCCTCTCGGTGTTTCTATGTTTTGCTGATCAAAAGATTTTACTTTCTGCTGCTAATGAGGGTGACCTCTTTCGCTATTATTAGTTGGTCGTATGAGTATTGAAGACAATAAACTATTTAGGAAACACCTGTCTTCACGAAGAATTTTGTGTTATCAATAGAAAAACCTCAAGTCGCTTTTCAAAGCCTATTTCAGTAAGGTTTTTGTCTTAAAACATTTAAGTGAATTGTTTTTCAGATGTTAGATACTGTTTCGGACTTAATCGTTGGAAAAGTGCTTTTGTTGTTCAATAGCCTATTTACGCCTCGTAACGAATGATCTCAGAAAACCAAGGGCTAAATTTGGTATAATTTTAAATAGAGATGTGATGAGACCATTTTGGAATTGATCAGTGTTCGGTCGTTGTACGAAAATCCAGG